CACACCACCCCCCACGGTCACATGATCATGATTTGCAACCTTTTTTTATGACAGTCATTAAGCGAATCACATAGTCGTTAAGCAAATCATGTGGTTGTTAAGCAAAACATGATCATTAAGTGAATCACATGGTTGTTAAGCAAATTCTGGCAAATAATGCCCATTGGGGAAGCTGGATTCGCTTAACGACCACGTGGTTCGCTTAACGACCATTGTAAAAATGGTTGTAAAATCAGGTCTGTGGTGACTTGCTTAATGCCTGCCCCACTTAGCAACCAGATTTCAATGACCCTATTGTGGTCATTAAGTGAGGACTACCTGCATGGGCGGCATACAAATTTAATAAATAAATACATAAATAAATATACATACACATACACATACAAATTAATAAACACCAGTTTTCTGGTAAAGCCCTTTCCTGATATGTTTAAGTAGAAGTTGTATTGGATTTGGACTCCTCCCTGAGCAAGGGTTTGGGTTTGATGGTCCAAATAAACTTCTTGCAATATATGTTATCTGCCCAAGTGGGGTTGAGATGCCATCTCTACCACCAAAACTTGGTTGCAATATGTTCAGCCTAATTTCTTGCCCTATTCTAGGTAATTACTAAATGCTGCATTGTTTCAGCTATCTTGTTTCAACAACTGTCTTGGACTTGAGAAATACATTTATCAGATTTATAACTACAGTTAACCATGAACCATATATAATATGCACCTCCTTTTTCCATATTACCCTGTCTTTCAAAGTTGAATGCTTAGTCTCGGATCTAATAAAGCAGAGAGATAGAAGCACTACAACAGACATAAGAACTTTGCTGTGAACAATATTGATCAAAACACCACTTGTTTAGCTTATCCTGAGTGACAAGCTAAGAGGTGGTGACAAATGCTTACAATATGTGCAAAAAGTGGTTTTTGTGGCTCTCTTCCCACAAATACTTTCCAGGAATCTGAAAGCAGTTACCACATTATTGATAAAATAATGACTGCAACAGGACTGTTTGTGGTTGCAAGATATCAGAGATCCTTAAGGTTAAACTACCAATTCATGATTATCACTTTGTTGACCCAGTCTTGATGCTAGTGATAGCTCAAAGTTGCTATATATTCTCTGCAGGTAGACATCCTCCCTACTCCACCCCCATCCAAGGCTGTACTAGCTGGAATTGATGGGCGTTGGGAGGGGGTATATCAAAAATTGGGAAGACAGTAGATTCTTTATGCTTGAATTATGTCAGAGGATATTTGCAGTACAAACATTGGCCATATAATTTGCACAACAGTTACATGAATGGCCTTTGAGATATGATACTTGTTCTGTTTGATCTGTTTCATTTTTAGCCTACTGCAAACATTTTGGGTTGTAAGGACAAAGAAACCGGCTAAAGCATTGAGAAATTGGTATGTCAATGTTTCTCTGTTGAATGATAAAGAATTTGTACAACAAACGGGGGTAGAGACTTTGCAGTACTTTGATTTGAATTCAGGAACATCAAGTGCCCAGATTTTTGAATGGGAAGTATATAAATCTTATATTTGAGGTCGAATTATTTCTTATGCCTCATATAAAAATAAGATTAAAAATAAAAGGGAAAATAATTTGAAAGATGAATTGAAACATTTATGGGGACAGATGGTTAGAAGTCCATTACTACTTTGTATAGAAAAATACAGAAGAAGAAATATGAATTAAATACTATAATATCACAGCAGACAGAATTCATGCTGTTTACAACAGAGATATTGGGAGAATGGTGAAAGATCTGGTAAAATTTTGGCTAATCATTTTACACAAAAGAAAGATAGAGCTATGATTCCAATTATTAGAGGTGAAAGAGTCCAAATATATACAATTTCAAAGGATATAAATTGTCATTTTTTAAAATTTTATTCAGAATTATATAGCAAACCAGAGAATATATTGAATGAAGATACAGAGGCCTTTTTAGATAATATAAATCTACCACATCTAGATGGTATACAAAAACAACCTTTATTTGTTCCACTCTCTGAGGTAGAGATTAAACAAATAATTTTAAAAATGGCAAGTGGTAAAACACAGGATTGGATGGATTTCCTATAGAATGGTATAAAGCATTTATAGATCTTTTAGTGCCAAAACTCTGTCAATTGTATGATGAGGTACTTGATAACGGAATATTATCAGAACATTTAATCAGGCTTATATTGCAATTATACCAAATCCAGGAAAAGATCATACTCAATGTGCTACCTATCGTCCAATTTTTCTGAGTAATGTTGATACAAAGATCTTAACAGCAATGCAGGCAAATAGATTACAGCAAGTGATATCGCTTATTATTAAGAATGATCAAGCAGGGTTTATAAAAACTAGGCAAGCAGCCGACAACATTAGGATGATTGTAGATTTAATTGACCTGAATAAAAATTAAGACTAATTTGTAATTCTATCTTTAGATGCAGAAAAAGGTTTTGACAAAATATATAGACAGTACATGTTTGCTATATTAAATAGGTTTGGATTTCCCTTGA